CCCCAAAACCCCAAAACCCCAAAACCCCATGCGAACAAATATAAAGGTTATTATAGATAAATAATAAGATGTCTTAACTTAATTAACTAGCTGTTTATAATTGAATTAATGCAGAATTACCAGACCTATCAAAAGTTTGATTCGTTGCTTGGACGTTTAACATCAACCGGAAAGCCATTTACTAAAAAGAAGCCAAGGCTATCTTCCCCCACATAAGTGTCAATATCTATTCCTCTCTAGTCCATGACCACTAGTCATAAAAATGAAGGGCTAGAAACTACAAAAGATGCTCAGAGATCTTTATTAGAAAAGGCCCTGACCCTTAATTTTAACGATTTAGCCAAGGCTAGTAGACCTCAACCTAGCTCATAGCTTAGTTCAAGAAATTCTAGCAAATAGGTTTTAAGCACAGGAATCATCAAGTCTAATAGTAGGTAACTGCAAAGATCTAGGTAAAATACTCAGTCAAAAACTCATCACTCATAACACAGTGTTAATCTCAATTAAAACAGAGTTTCAAACTACTCGAACTCAGGAATATCAAAGGCATCTTATTTGACAAACCCCTCAAGTAATTATACCCATTCAAGCGAAATTTAAGGCTATCATTAAAGTGTACCTAAAATAGGATAATCATTAAATACAAACAGAACAAAATATAATAGCAAGGTAGATAAGCAAAGTAGCAAAAATGGAGGCAAGTAAAGTCTTATATTCTTTGAGAGATTTAATCAAGTTATAAGAGAAGATAGATCTTTTTCACCAACCAATGCTGATTTTATTCCTTTCTAAATGACAGCAGAAACTCCAAATTAAAACAACAAGAAAATTTACGATATGGATTAAGACAACTCTATTCAAGGTCCTTAAAGATTTAATTTGAGATAACCTTCAAGATCGAATATCAAAAGCTGCAACATTGTACTTTTTGATATTTCAAGTAACAATAAAAGTAATAGCAAGACTAATGGGAAGCTTGAAAAGAGACTCAGTCATAATTAAAGCTATGAAATTGAGGATTAAATTGAATAGATGAGAGCAATTTAAGAGTTGAGTTACTAGTAATTAGATCAGCCATTCGAATCAAGAACACTAAGATTAACTAAAAAAATACAGAGATGGTATAAGTAGATTCTTCATAAAAGAAAAGCAATTAAAGCAAAGAAATACCTAAAAGCTAATCTTGGAAGGTATATCTTAGGGCATAGAGTTAGAAAGGCATTCAAATGGCTATAAAAGTAGTAAATTGGAAAAGAAGCTATTGATTTATTGAGGATTAAGAATGATGTGATTATTTTCACCTAAAAATCTAACCTCTCAGGGAATAACACCTTATCTCAGGCTCAAAATGCCTCAAATGATCCATTTATCCAAAATATTACTAAATAGCTGAGAATAAAACTATAAGAATTCAATCAGCAACTTACACTCTAGCTTATTAATCTTAAAAAAGGAAAGAAATTAGAGATTCAGAGCTTGAAAGATCAGTTAGTGTTGCTAAACAAGAGACTTAATCTAAAAAGATAGAAAAGCAATGAAAGAGGTGCATCAGAAAACAGTAGAATTATTTAAAACTCTCTTATCTAGAATAATTTAGGGGATTAAAATCAGCAAACTATAAAGAATAAACTTAGAGTCCTATTCTAAAGAGTTGAGAATATTATTTTGTCTAATAGAAAAGATTCTTCAGACGTCCTGGATGTAAGTTCCAATTACATTTTAATTTATATAAATAATAGGACTGTCTAGAGAATATTAAAGAGCTTTATGAAAACGAGAAGAGAAAGCGCAGTATTATTCAAAACGAAGACTCAATCAGAACTCTCTTGTGATTTCATTAAATGTTGAAAATGAAGAAATTATCTGCTTATTAAATAAATTATGTATGGATGTCTTAATTGGAATTAAACTTGGAGCTAGGGGTTTTGGGGTTTTGGGGTTTTGGGG